TTCTGATTGGGGTGCAGCAGAACGATAGCATCTGCTGAAGGTCCATAAAACGATTTTAAGGAAACAAATCAGCAACTGAGCCGCTACTGGTTACGAATGGAGGATACAGACACCGCGATGCCATCATATCACGTGAGAAAAGGCTCCATTAGTGGTACCTTACAGACGGAAACTGAAGTATATCCTCACTCAGAAGGAAATAAAAGGAGCCAGTTGATGAGGCCATAAAGTACCAAGTCAAAATAGTTGTACTCTCGTCAACGAGGCGCCAAGGCTTTTAAATTCTGAGATGTCTACATCACGACTTGCGCTCATGCCGGTGTTAGTGTTCTGGTAGAGCCTAACAGCTAATAGAATCATTGAATGGAAGCCTGTCAGCGAAAGAGTGGCAATTCTCTGACTGAAGCTACAATAGGACTTAAACTTGACCCTATTACAGGTGCAGTACTCGATTTAGAGGGAGAATATGACTCCTTACTTGAGGAATTTGATTGTGCTCTGTACGAAGTGCGAATTTGTACTTCCTATCCTAATGGGCGATTTCAGTGAACTCGTCAGAGCAGATTTTGAAGAATGAAAAAGCGTGAATGGAAAGAACGGTCCTATTGACCTCAGCAATAAAGGTATGAAGTTGTTGCGGTTTTATGCAAACAACGGGTTTTCTGCTATAAACGCCTTCGGGCATCGAAATGTACGTTAGTATACCGGGCATACAGAAGCCTGTGCACAAAACGCTAATCGATTTCATAATCGTTAAGGCCTCACCTATGAAGCTCTGCAATGGGCGTTCTCGTTAAGAGATGCGTAGAGCTGTCAACCGATCATCACCTTGTTTTAGTCATGCTACGTTGTAAGAAATGATGACTCTCTGGTGACAGCCAACCAGAGGATCAAATGGGAAAAATTATTTTCGGCGGAAATGAAAGCGCAGCATGCAAACAACATTGCGCAATGATTTGAATACCCGCTGATGACAGCTGATGCGGAAACCGAGTGGCATCTCGTTGAGAGCGGCATACTCGAGGCTGCCGCCGAATGCTGCGGATTTAAGCTGGTTGGCCTGCCACCTGGAGGTCAGAAAAGATCTTCATGGTGGACGAGAGGGACAACTGACAGTTAAAGAGAAAAAGGCAGAGTTCAAGAAACGGCTTGGAAACAAGGAGCCATCTACACGCGTGCGATATGTCGAGGCACGCAAGGCGGCA